TAAGAGAGCCAAGGTCATCCTTTGTTTTTGCACCTCTGCACCTGACTGGAATTGGATGGGTGGAACTGCCAGCATGGCAGTGGAAAATTGGACAATGTAATGGACTTGTAGGTGTGGGGGCAAGATCTTGAACTTTCAACTAGGTGGGGAAAACCAGGAAGCTTTCAGATTCGAGTTTTCCCAGATGTGCCAACATGGCTCTCTTATTAAATTGGAACGTTGAGCAATACTTTGCCTTGGACTCGGATTTACTTTTGGATGCTATTTGGAACCTTGACATCAGCATGAAATGTTTGGTGAAGTTAACTCAGATAAAGCAAATAAATCTATCAGTCCACTCTTCAAGAAACGTTCTGCCTTTTCTAAAGTTATTAGGTAGCTTTTTTCTAACCTTGAATACAGAAATATTAGTTTATTGATCAATTTGCCAGTTTGTTTTTTAGTTGATCTGGCTTTATGTCACAGAAACATTTCAACTTAGCATGAAGAAGTGCCATCATAGTAGAATCAATGAGATTTGCAAGCTATTAGCAAGGAATGATAAACTTCTTCTGAGTTGCTCTCACCAAATATGGGATACAAATTACTTTCTAGCATCAGAGGTCTTCAAACTTGGCAACTTTAAGACTTGTGGACTTCAACTCCCAGAATTCTGGGAGTTGACATCCACAAATCTTAAAGTTGCCAAGTTTCGGGACCCCTGTATAGATCTTTCTGGTTGTGAGAGAAAGAAGATGTGGTGGCAAGCTAGTCTCCTGGATCCCAAAACAAAGGCTAAGAGACATGTGAAAGCCGAATGCATAAGGAATATGTATGCTCCCTTACTTAACAGAGGTACACAAGAGCAAAGCTTTGCTTTCTAGGAACTGCAGAGCTCTTGGAATTTGGGGCTGCTTCCAATGAGCTATTTCTGGTTTGTGTTCAATGGGCCAAATGCTAAAGCAGAATATTCTCTGACTCTGGTAGGGTCCCTATACACATTTCTATACAAATATCCTTCCCCAATAATTTAAATAGATGTTTGTGCACAAAGAAATATGTATATCTCCAATTGAATCTCTCCAATGAAATCTATATTGAAGTTACAGCTGATGAAGGGTTGCACATATTAAAAAAAAATCTTTGTTTTTTGTATTATGTTCCTATATTGAGATTAATATTGGTGTAATCTATTGGTTGAACTCCTATCATATTGTTTCTGTGTATTGTTTGCTCTAGTTGTTTTAGTCCACCCTCCCTGTTTTTGTGGATTTTAACTGTTTTACTCTTTATATGGATTTTGTAAGCACCCAGAATCTTCTGGAGCGGGCAGCCAAATTAAATTGAATAAAATAAATCATTTCTCCTTTTCAGCCCTTTCGATGTCCTTCAATTGGGTGAAATTGTTGGGGGAATCACCTGCAGTATACAAATAAACAAATTGAAGTGCCTAGGTCATTTAATTTCTTAAGCCAATGGTATTTCATCATGAATGCCAAAATCAAAGGTGAAAGCTATAAATTACCTAGGATTTTTGTTGATGGTAGGTGCAACAGCTGGACAAAGAAAATTTGCCCTATAGATGTAATACAATTGAAGCTAACTGGTTTTTAAAAAAAACTGTGATACAAAAATGGTCTTGCAAATATCAAACATGGATTTCCTAGTCTCATATGGTACAGTAACCAGTAACCAAGAAAGAATTAAGCTGGACTGGTCAAGAATAGTGGAGAGAAAGGATTGATCAACTCTAGATATAAGAGAGACCTTAAACTTATTATTACAGATATCCTAAATGTACATTTGTTTTATTTAGAAAGCAAACAGCTTAAATAAAGGTAAAGATATGTGCTAGTCATTCCCAATTCTAGGGGGGTGGTGCTCAACTCTGTTTCAAAGCCGAAGAGCCAGCACTGTTCGAAGANCCACGGCACACCTTACACTATGTCACGGCACACTAGTGTGCCGTGGCACAGTGGTTGAAAAACACTGGTGTAACTGTTTGTGTATTTGTGAGTACTAATGTTTCTGGATATGATGGTAGGTTGGAATTTACCTGAGAGTGCACTGAAGAATGAATCTTCTTCCTCATCCTCAGGGGAGGAAGAGCCTCCCACATCTCCGGTGTGGTCCCACTCCAGTGGAATGGAATCAACGCTGACAGGCGTCTCACAGCCTGACCTCTCGGGACCACCTGAAGTAGGTATGAGGTGACAGAGAGACTGCTGTGATGGTGGCCCCTCCTGAACTGTCTTCTTTGGCCAAGGATCAGTTTGCATCCCTCTTGCATGGTCTGAATCAGCTTCATTCTCCGAAGACTCTTTTTCATCTTCCAGTCCCTCAACGAGACAACAGAAATACTGATATTGAACTCAAGTTATTAACATGAATTACTTACAGAACTACTCTGTACTCTCAATGTTTGAGAAAAAATGGGAATCCTCCAAAGTAGGATTATTTATTTTAATTTTTTAGCTGCCCAACTATAACAGATTCTTAGTTACCCACTCCCTTCTTTCTTCTAAATCTGTGTTTCTCAACCTTGGCAACTTGAAGATGGATGGACTTCAATTCCCAGAATTCCCCAGCCAGCTGCGACAAGGGTTGCCTTCTGCAACTCTGCATGATCTTTAATACCTTGGGGGTCAGGTGATCATGCTACAGCTTTATTTCAATTGTGATTGAAGCATTCAATCATATGCCATTTGGAGACAGATCAGGAACTACTGAAAACCCTCGAAAAGAAATAACCCGATAACCCGTCCTTTAATGAGAACTAAGTTTTCTTATTCCATCTTCTAAAGTTGTGTTTTATTTGTCACACACATCCACACCCATCCACCCACATACATAAATGCATATATATATATATATATATGCATACATACATACATACATACATACATACACACACACACACACACACACACACTAGTCTCCCTTTATTTATCAGCACAAATATAACACACACACATATATGTGTGTGTGTTTGTGTGTGTTTGTGTGTGTGTTTGTGTGTGTATGTATGTATGTATGTATGTATGTATGTATGTATGTATTTAGAGTCACAGGCTCACATATGTGAGCCTGTGACTCTAACATATTGACATATTCTTTCTCTTCACAAAGAACTATATATATATTCCTTCTCTTTAGAACTCAGAGCATATAGGCAGGTCTCCCAGATGAGTTACATCTAATCATTAATCATAATTAATCATAAACCCTATCTGCTTTGTTTCCAGGTGCCCTGGACTCAAAGAAAAAACACTTTGGATATAATAATAAAAAGTAAAGGTTCCCCTCGAACATATGTGCTAGTTGTTCTCGACTTGAGGGGGCGGTGCCCCTCTCTGTTTCAAAGCCGGAAAGCCAGCGATGTCTGAAGACGTCTCCATGGTCATGTGGCTGGCATGACTAAACGTTGAAGGTTCACGGAATGCTGGTACCTTCCCACCAAAGGTGGTTCCTATTTTTTCTACTTGCATTTTTACATGCTTTGGAACTGATAGGTTGGCAGAAGCTGGGACAAGTAACGGGAGCTCACTCTGTTACTAGGGATGCTAGGGATTCAAATCTTTCAATTGACAGCTCAGTGTCTTAGCCACTGAGCCACCGTGTCCCTTGGATATAATAATAACAACCCCTTCCTTAACTTGGAAAAAAACCCAGTGTTTTAATTATTGAAGTTTGGAGAATACATCTACCATGCCTTTTATTCTTTATCTATATAGCTTTTGAAAATGAATCTATTAGCAAAGAAACAACATGGATTTCACAAAGATACAACTTCATTCGTTCTTACTGGATGCCAGGATGTCAGTCTTTGATGGAATCGGGCTACTCGGCCAAACACTTCCTGGCAATAATTACAAAATTCTTCTAGTTCCTCTTCGAGTATAATGGCATCCTCTGGTTCACTTTTTTTAATCAGATGTAATCCAGAAGCAATCAACTGTTCAATCTTACTGGTATTTAGCATTATTTCCCTCTGGAAACCCTGTTTAAAAGACAGATAATTATGCTTCCTAAGTGTTAGGACAGATTACTTAAATTAGTGCAATTCAGATCAATCAATCTCATAAAGGGAGGATGGGAACATATAAAGAGAAGCACAGAATATTTCAGCTGTCTGCAGCCATCTTTTCTTTTGAATCTTTGGCCTGTCACACTTTCTATTATTCTACTATGCATTTTCTATTGTGGGAAAATGGGAGGGGAGATTGTAGAAGTGAGATGTGAGGTAGCCATAACAAAATTCTTTCTAGAAAGCCAAGGTCATCCTTTGTTTTTGCACCTCTGCACCTGACTGGAATTGGATGGGTGGAACTGCCAGCATGGCAGTGGAAAATTGGACAATGTAATGGACTTGTAGGTGTGGGGGCAAGATCTTGAACTTTCAACTGTGTGGGGGAAACTGGGAAGCTTTTCCCAGATGTGCCAGCATGGCTCTCTTAATAAATTGGAACTTTGGGCAATAGTTTGCCTTGGACTCTGATTTACTTTTGGATGCTATTTAGAACCCTGACAATGTGTTCCATACAATATACATCATGCCTAAGTTCCCTTACATTCTGTGTTGATGACAAATGGGATTACGCCTGCCTAGTTACAACAGGATCTACCTTATCTTGTCTTTTACAATTTGTCTGGAGCGTGGGCTTACTTTCTTGAACATTCAGATCGCACTGACACACAATGACTAGCTCTTTATCATATGTGGTTTTTATTTGGCCTGCTACTGAGGCTTGCGGTAAGAATCATTGACTGAAAGTATTTTATAATTCTTCTGGTACATTTTATGAAAGAGTAACTTTCCATCCATTCTCAC